GAGTGTGGCTGGAGATCGCGGTGGCGCTGGCCGTGCTAGTGGCTGCGGGCCTGGTAGTCTCAGGCATCTATATCTTTTTCCTCATCCCGCACGCCACCTCCTCCGGCCCCGCGCGGCCCCAGCTCGTGGCACTCGCCCCAGCGCCCGGCTTCTCCTGGTTTCCACCGCGGCCCACGCCGGGGGCGCCCTGGACTCCCGCCTGGACGCAACACCCCACGATCCCTGACCTGGACACCACCCCACCAGGGGCTGCAGAGGACGCACTGGAGCCCGAGGTGGGGCCTGAGGATCCAAGGGAGGCTGAGGGGATGCTGGATGAGCCATCGGACCAAATGTGGGGGACAGAGGCTCGCCCAGGCTGGGCCCCGCGGGCACGGGGCAGGAGGAGGGTGTGGGGGCCACAGTAAATGCATCTGTGCTACAGGCCCTGTCCACATCCCTGGGGACCTCGGTGTCATTCTGGGGAAACTTAGCAGGGTATATGTACGGTAAACACCCATTTCTCCAGATTGGGGCCTGGTGGGAGCATACATGGCATTGTCACCATGGGGCAGGGACCATCTCAAGGAACAAACACCGCAGCCATCCCATAGGGATCCTCTGGTAACAACCCCGATTCCCATGAAAGTCCAGCTGGAGGTCACCTCTGACCCTAATTCCAGTGGCCATCCAGCTGAGGGTTCCCTGACCATGATCTTTGTAAGGGTTCTGCACTCCTGAACCCAATCCCCATGGGGATCCAGTTGGGAGCATCTCTGATCCTCCTCTCTTCTGGGAGTCGAGCTGGGGGGGCCCTGCCACCACCTCCCTTCCCCCACCAACATCCATGCAGAGGCCCTGCCAGGGGAACCCCCAGCCCTGATTCTTGAAAGGGTACTGCTGGGAGTACCCCCGGTCATCCTCACCATAGAACACTGGGGGAGCATCCTGGGCCAGCACCAGGGGCTGCAGGTTCTGATCTGCTCATCCGTTGGGCTCTTTGCAGGTGGCTGGGTGCCCTCCATCTTTGGAGAGCAAAGCTGCTGCATCTATTATTCCCTGGTCACAACTCCCTTCCACTGGTCTATGGCAGGGGATATCTCTGCACCCTCTCAATCAGTCTGTGAACTTTGTTTTACTCTGCTTCCCGTGGGCTGGTCCTGGGTAGGATCCAGCTGTCTACATACAGGTCCTGGGTATACAGTCATCACCTGGCACACCTGCCTGGGGATTGGGGAAGGGGTAGACTGGACGGGACCGGGGAGGACCCTGTGTCTCAAAGACTGGCTCCCACCCCGAACCTAAGTCTCAAACTGCTCTGGGAACTTCAATTTCCCCTCTAAGTCATGGCTTCTGGGATCCTCCTGATATGCAGTGGGGCAGCTGTGGTCCTCATGGCTTAGAGAAGCCAGGGTCAACCCCTGGATTAGACAGAGGCACACAATGGGGGTTGGGGGTGAGTATTGGACCTCCCTGGCTAGCCTAAGGGATCCTGGCCCCTCTTCCTGCCTGCAAGAGCCTCTATCACCACCAGTTAATTTCTTGGGCCCAGTTACTGCACTTCCTCCTCCAGGGCTCCATCAGCCCTGCCCAGCCTCCCCTTTGTGCTTCCAGCTGAAGTGTGAGCCTTCCAGGTGGACAGCAGCCTCCAGGGAAGGTGGCTTGTGGGCTCTTGTCCTTCTCCCAAGAAGGCTTCCTGAGTTAGTCACAGAGGGATAGATGGCAGATTGAACATGAGCCTTCTGTCTCCTCCCAGGCCTGGAAGCCCAACCTGACTCCCCTTGCCCAGGAATGGGGTGCTATGTGTTGAGGGTGGGCACCCAGCATTTTCCAGAGAAAAATGTGACTTCTATGTGGCTGGAGGCTCCTGTTGAATTTGTTTACACGTGTGTCTTCAGCACCTGGCATACAGTGGATGCTGAATAGTTACTGGGGAGTGACGGCATTGCAGGTGACAAAGAGGGAGCCTGGGAATGCCTGTGCGCGCCCAAGTCTTCCCAGGCACCCAAGTGTTCCCTGGCTCCCAGCCACCCTGGGCCCAGGTATGTCTGTGTAGTTAGTTCTGGTGGGAGCTTCTGCTTCCAGGCGGGAAGCCGGAGGAGGAACATCATGGAGCCCAAGGGCGTGTCTCCCCAGACCAGTTCTTGGCTCACATCCGTGTGCCAACGTCACCCACTGGGGCTGGGACCAGTACACTGGGTCACTGGGCAGCCCCAGCTCAGACTCATGGGGAGGGAACCTGGTTAGGCAGGAGCAGGGTTGGTGGTCTGTATTCGTTTCTCTGGCTGCTGTAACAAATTACCCCGATTCAATTCCTTAGAACAACACCCATTTATTATCTTACAGTTCTGCAGTCCAGAAGTCCGAGATCAGTTTCATCAGGCTAAAAACAAGATATCCACAGGGCTAGTTCCTTCTGGAAGCTTTAAGAGAGAAGGCATTTCTTTAGCTTTTTCCAGCTTGACTCATGGCTCCTTCAAAGCCAGCAGCATAGCATCTTCGAATCTCTCTCTGACCCTCCTGCCTGCCTCTTTCATACATAAGGACAAGATGAGTACACTGGGCCCACCCAGATAATCCAGGATAATCTCCCCATCTCAAGACACTTAATCTCATCTGCAAAATCCATTTTGCCATGTAAAGCAACAGATTTACAGGTTCCAGGAATTAGGACCCAGATATTATGGGGGGCCATTATTCAGCCTACCATAGGGTCTCAGAGATCCCCCTCCTTATCCTTTCCCTCCTCCATCCCAAACGGGGGAAGTGGGGATGGGCAGGAGTAGACCTGGCCCGGATGGGCCCAGTCAGGGGAGTCAGAAAGGGGCCCTTGAGGGCCGGCCCATGGCTCACTCGGGAGGGTGTGGTGGTGATAACACCAATAGGGATGGCCGTTTTGCTCACTGGCTGAGCCTGGTGCTGAAAACACCAAGCCAAGGGTTAAGATCCCCTTACCAGTCATCTTTTTTAAAAAAAAGAAAGGGGGGGCCCTTGGCTGGCGGTGCACAGAGGAGAGAAAGAGGATGCTCTCTGCCGGAGGATTGTCCAGAAAGGCTGCCTGGAGGAGGGGATCTCAGAGCTGTATCCTCAAGGATGCTCAGGAGCTGGCTTTGAGGCAGATGGCATAGCCTGCACAAAGGAAGGAGGACCAGGTGGTGGCCAAGGGTGGTGGGTGGGGCTGGCCCCTCCCTCACTATCCTAACCATCTTCCTCCTAGGGACTTCTGTGGCTTCTCCACTCTCCCAGCTGGGAACCTGGGGCTCCTCATAAAAAAGAGGTTGATGATAGCCCAGGATAACTGAGCCTCCTTGTCTGACAATTACTACCATAGTGCCTGCCCGCCCACTGCCCTCAAACAAAGCGGCTTCCCAAAACCACCCCAGGCCAGTATCATAGGAGGCTCCTCTCCACCCTTGCCCATAGGCCTCTGCCCCTCCCCATAACCACTGGACACACTACCACCACTGGTACCTCGGCCTTGGCACTTTGGCCCCAGACCTCGGTGTACATGAACTGCTGGGGATGGGATGGGAGGACACACTGTGTCTGGCACGGTGCCAGAGGGGCCTGTACAACCCAGACCTTGGTTTTCTTTTCTGTAAAATGGGTGGCAATAAACATTCTACTTGCAGGGAATTCATTTATCCACAAGTAATTGAGCACCTTTTGTGTACTGGGGGCACACCAGGACACTTCAGAAACAAGGACTGACCTCACATAGCAGATGAGAGCAGACGGAGCCCTCATTCTGGCCGCACTGCCTCCTCCGCTAAGCTCATGGGGCCCCCCAACTCCTCAAACTTTCCAAGCTCTTCTCCCCCTACTCCAGGAAGGACGCCAGGGACTCTATTCTACCGGCATCCCGCCAGCCTTTTCTCAACGAGGATCAGAGAGGCAGACTGTCCAGACTGACTGATGGGGAAACTGAGGCTGACCAGCCGGGTAGGGCGTGGACTCGAACCCGGTTCCAGGAAGCTATCTATAAAATCTCTCCTCACCTCAACTAAAGGGCCTGGCAGCCTCGGTTTTCCCTCCTTTCCCGGCCCCGCAGCCGCAGTTCTCCCCTACGCTTTAGTTCTCTCCTCGGTCCTCGGAGTCACTGTCTTCCCTCCTCCCTCACACCCGCGGCGGGACAGATCCGGAAGCGGAGAGGCCTTTAGAAAACGCAGACCAAGGGCCGGCCTGTGGTTCACTCGGTAGAGTGCGGTGCTGATAACACCAAGGCCACAGGTTCGGATCCCACATAGGGATGGCTGGTTTGCTCACTGGCTGAGCGTGGTGCTGACACCACCAAGTCAAGTGTTGAGATCCCCTTACCGGTCATCTTTTAAAAAAAAAAAAAAGAAAACGCAGACCAATCTGAGGCCGCATTTCAGGGTGGGGAGGCGGACCCTTCGTTGCTATAGCAACTTGTCCCGCCTTTGCTGCGCGCGCACTGTATCCGTTTCGCCGGCCTGGTGGGAGGAGCTGGGAAGGCGCGCCAGAACTGGGGGCCAATCTGAAGCTTGAGGCAAGCGTTGCTATGGCGACCACACCGCGCCTGGCAAGTGTCTGGCAACTCGAGCTGCAGTGAAACTGGAGAGAGAAAAGAGGCTACAGGTGTGAGGGGCAGGAAAAAGCGAGACGCGGAGAATGAAAGCTACAGAGATCTGAGGCTGCAGGGACAGGGGAGAGGGGAGAGAAGTGAACACCGAACAAAAGATCCGGGCGCTCAAAGTCCTAACGTGAGAATAGGGGAGCGTTTTTCATCACATCACAGCACCACTTCTCTGTGCGCCAGCTCCGTGCACTAGACAGACTCATCCCCCCGTCGCAGGGTCTCGTAGGCACCTTATGATGCGCTCTCCCTAGCTCTAAACCCACCTACAGACCTGGCAAGGGTTGGCGTCCTCCCATTCCAGGAGGGAGACTGAGGCTCGGACAGAGGCCCAAGTTGGGGTTTCCTCTGCTCTGGCTGTCTCTACAGAAGCCCAGGACCCTTAGAGGGTCCAGGAGCCACCTGCGACGTGTGTTCTTCTCCCCGGGGGATGGATGATTCCACTTTAAAGGTTGTGGAAAATTCCACAATGAGTATTGGGCTTTTCCGAAGAATCTCTCTGAAATCTACCTTAAAAAAAAAAAAGATAAATAACAGCTTTATTAAGGCTGGCCGGTTAGCTCAGTTGGTTAGAGCAGCTTCAGATAACACCAAGGTCCAGGATCCCTGTACTGGCCAGTTGCTATTAAAAAAAAAAAAAAAAATCAGCTTTATTGAAATATAATTCACATACCATACAATTCGCCTGTTAGACTGTACGATTCATTAGTATATTCACGCAGTAGTGTAACCATCACCACTATCTACTTTTAGAACATTTCCAAAAGAAACTTTATTACTCATTAGCAGTCGTATCCCATCCCCCCAATCATGAATTTATTTTCTGTTTCT